GCACGGCGCGTCGCTTCTGTGCGCGCCGGGACCCCGCGCTAGAGTGGGAGCCCGACCTCGAGCGGGACCGGGACTTGGAGCGGGAGCCAGATTTGGAGCGTGAGCGAGATTTGGAGCGGGAGCGGGAGCGAGAGCGGGATTTGGAGCGAGAGCGCGATTTGGAGCGAGAACGAGATTTGGACCGGGAGCGGGACTTGGAGCGAGAGCGGGATTTTGAGCGTGAGCCGGAGCGCGACCTGGAGCGAGACCTCGACTTGGACCGCGAACCAGATCGTGACCGCGAGCCAGCCTTCCGAGCGCCAGATCCGGACCTCGAGCGACTCCTACTTTTACGCACTGGAATAATGGACATACTCATTAGTTCAATAATTTAAAACGCAATCAACAAGTCTCATAATGTTTTATTACTGTTTGTGTCTTCTTAAACGACTTCAAAAAAAGGAGGAGGTTCTCAATCCGATCGTATACGTATCTCCGTTATTTATAAGCCGATTTTGACAGTTCTTTTTCGCTGGAAAGGAGATAGGCCCAGAATGGTCCCATGATATGGAAATCAAGATCTAAAGATGGAAGACCAGAGATATCGAGGGGAACTTTCGAAAATTGTAGGGGCGAGTACTACGTCTATTATGTTTTTCAATCATCATCATCATCATCATCAACAGCCGGAAGCCGTCCACTGCAGGACACTGAAGGCCTGCGCCTTATTTGTTTTTAGTTTGGGCTTTCTGAAGTCCGTTTTTTATACGCATTTTTAATTTATAGTACATAAAACTATCTTAGGTATCTAAATATTTTCGAGGAAATCTTAAGAAAGGTAGTAACAGCTGACTTTCTAGTAACTAACATATTCTCTATGCGCGATTAGATAGCAAATCTAAACTACCAAGAGATGGAAAAAATAAATAGTATAAATATAAAAGAAGCAGCTTTCTCAGAATAGTTGTTTCTCTGATGTGTAGCTTGCTCTCGGAGTACTTCTTGTCTTTCTTTTCTTACTACACAGATTAGTTGAGATTAAAATAAAATCATAAAATATCACATAATACTTTACCTTGTTCAGGTGATTTTGATCTGGACCGAGACTTGGATCGTGATCTTGAATGAGACTTGGATTTTGAGTGTCGCGAAGCGGATCGAGAGCGTGAGCGGGAACGGCGAGTTTCTGTGACAAGATCAGGTCAGATACAAAGTGACTTGTACTGTAGTGTTGTGTAACACCGTACACGAGTAGTAAGTAGTACACGAGCTGAGACTCACCTGCCGTATCAACCTCCATGCCTTGCGCCGGGGACCCACTGCGCGACCGAGACCGCGACTTGTGGGAGCCGCTGTGGGACCGTGTGCTTGACTTTGAGCGAGACCTGGACTTAGATCGGGATCGAGATTTGGAACGGGATCGAGATTTGGAACGGGACCGAGATTTGGAACGGGACCGAGACTTGGAACGGGACCGAGACTTGGAACGCGAACGAGAGTGAGACTTGGAACGCGAGCGAGAATGAGATTTAGAACGCGAGCGAGAGCGAGATTTGGAAAGCGAGCGAGACTTAGAACGCGACCGAGACTTGGAACGCGAACGAGACTTGGAACGCGAACGAGACTTGGAACGCGAGTGAGCGGAGCGTGACCTTGACTTGGAGCGGGAGCGCGACTTGGAACGTGACGTAGATCTAGAGTTGCGTCTTGAATGCGTGGAGCCATCGTGAGACATCCTGGACACTGAGCCCGCCTGGGTACAAACAGAACATCTCCAATATAGTAATGTACTTACGAACAATACACATTAGTTTATCTGTGAAACTACCCAACAGCCACCAACTGTCCTTGCAGACAAATACTATCAGATGTACATTAACGAGTAACAAATAATAGCAGACTGCTTTTAAATATGATGCCTTGTTGAGGTGGTATTTGAAAGCAGTTATTAGTGTTACACCTGCACTTAGTTTTGCAATTTGTGCAATAATCAAGATGGTGTTGTTGCATGCTGTGCCTTAGAACTAGATAGAGTACATGCAATACTCACCGAGGGACTGCGGCTGCGGGAGCCGGAGTGGGAGCGTTGCCCTCCTGCACAACACATGACACCAGTAAGTACAGCTCTAGTTCCATAACTCATTATTACATTCCCTTCAGCTTGGCAAAGATAAACCTGTCCTTTCTCACAAACTATTTTATTGAAATTCATAAGGTCACCAAAATTACCAATTCAATTTAATTCTAGTCATAAACTGTTGCAATGTTATGATAGCTGTGTAAACGTAATGTCCCTTAATTAACATATTCACTACAAGTAGCAGTAAGTATAAGGATTGAAACAAAACTGTACACACTAAACAACTATTGGAATATTATACATAGTAACTAGTTGCGTGTAACTATACCATTTGAAATCAGTAGTGAATTCATTAAAGGAATATTGTCACAATGTAATTTTATTTGAATACTAGAAATACAATGCAGGATATAATTTTTTCAAACAAAGCTTGATAAAATCAGACCAGTCATCATTCCCATTGGCATATCAGTATATAAATGCAGAAAATTTAAGAGGAGATAACTGCATTCAGTTCTAGTCTAAACATTTTTATGTTTAGCTGTGTCAGTGACTTAAATTAAAGAGCACAATTCAACATGTCAACTGCCATGTACATCACCGGTGACGGGAGTTAGCAGAAGATTCGCCATCAACCGTTTCCTGTTGGCAGTAAATATTGAGAGAACAAAATAATATTTTAATTATAACAAAATAATCAATAATCTCATTAATCATTACTCGAAATGATTAAAAATATATTTTAAAACACCACATGTAGAAATGAAGCAACTAATGGATGCATTCTGATACAATTTATTGATCCTTTTTCTGTGAATTCTTTACAATATTATGCTCTGAAGTTGTGTGTAACACAAGCGAACCTCCTACATCTTTACAATGTTACCTCAAAATAGTACTTGAAGAGTGAATTTTTCAAATCAGTAGTTTTTTGCCACTTTGCAGTGGCTAAAAACAAACAAATCTCTCCTCTTTACAATGTTAGTAATTTCGTATAGGTAGATTAAGTTTTTAACTTGTGTAAATTAAATCACAATTTTATAAAACTTTGTTGAATGTTAAGTTACGTAGCTTCTCAAGAAACAACAACTTCATCAGAAGAGCCGCCTGTGGCATTTTACTAGTTCAGCCACCCCATAGTTACGCCACTGATATTATATTGTTATCATGTTACTATTTCCTAGCTAACCAACGAAACATTCACATGTGTAGCATTACTATTTACAAGATTTAAATAATAATTTAGCATTACTTCAATCTGACATAACAATTTAATATTGAGGTTAGAAAAAGAACAAAATTAATAGCAAACCTGTATCCACGTCCATTGTTATCTTTAGATGAAGGTACGGAACGCACTAAGGTGCTCTACGAAACTAATTGAGCGGCATGTGTAAAACTATTAACACAAAATATTACGTTTAAATAACCACACAATGAGAATAATCTAGAGCAAACCGACGAAATAAAACGAAAACGGCAGTTCACTACACTGACTTGTTGACTGAACTTCACTGACTGACAACCAGAAGACAGAATTATACCACAGCACAAATTCAATGCAATCGACTTCAAACTTCAACCGACATGACAACTATTGCAGTGTTACCAACTCTTAAACAAACATAGTTATCCCTTATCTTATCAGTAATACAATGTAATTTATTGGAATGAATAAAAAATAAGAACTAGATAAATATTTACAACTTAAAATTAACTACAACTAAAGAATTGAATAAAAGTAGAAAAAAAAACGAAAATTATAACCTTAAGGAGATATTTCTTTTTCGGCCATAACTTGTACAGTTAGGTACCGAAAAAGAGGAAAAATTACCATGAATCAAGGAAAAATAATATCTTAGACGCTGTGTACAGAAACAATTTTTGAATTATTGCCATATTTTATTAAAACGGCGGGTTCATTCGTTCTGAAATAGTCTCATGAAATCAATATTTCGCAGAGAGTAAAATATAACATAAAAAGAATACCTATATTTTTTGTAGAAATAAAAATATAATGAATACTATAATATTATTATTCTCTTGGAGATTTTGTTATGTAAACCTAAATAAGTGTGACGATTTTTCGTTACAAATTACAAGTTACAAATTCATTAATCTCTTTTTTAATGTGTGTTTCTGAACGACTTCAAAACATAGTAGAAATTCTAGAACTCGTCAGTCAGTTGAGTCCACAGATTATTAAAAAATAAATAAATAAGAAATAAATAAATTTAATCGTGATTTTCGTAACGTGTAACGGATTCCTGATATCTTTTCTGATGATTTTGTCTTTGTTCAACGGTAACTCTGATTTTGCGAATTGGATTTGTCTGCCAATCGGGAATCTTTTGTTATTTCTTATGATAAAGGTGTCTACTTAAATAAATTAAAAATATTTACAAATCAGCTAGAATGGGAACACGAGTTTAACTATCTATGTTTTGCAGGTTCTTTGGTTTGGTGAAAATGGCTTGTGTGAAATACAATAAACCTATACACAGTGATGAAGTTCACTATTTTGCAGCAGATTTGGGTCCTTTTGTTTATTATTGAACAAGACATGGGTCGAGAGGTAAGAATACATACTATTCATAAACAGTACAATGTAATACAGGCATGTCGGAACGGTCATTAGTACGGGATTTCGATATACTACAAAACGAAGAAATATTATTCCTGGAATAACAACAAAATGAATAAAGATGGCGCGCTTCAACAGTTAATTGTGACGTCATGTCCGCCTAAGAGTGGGGGAGATTGAGTGACTTTCAAGTTTTCAACTTCAACATCGCAGTCATCGCACGAAGGCAGGCACTCTTGTCTTGGACTCCGAACGAACAATAACACACTAAGATTGCTGTCGGCCGAATAGTGATTGCAATCATTAGAATCAGTGCTGTGAAATTGTCATTGAGATTATATTGTTCGAGATTATAACGGTGAATATTATTACAATGAGAGTGGACTAAACTTTGATGTATTTTAATTTAACCAATTCTGAACTTTGAAAGTGACTGAGACCTCTGACTTTGTTTCGGCGTTTCTTCTCAGAATGGTAGGAAATGCCGACTTAATTAAAATGTGAACAAGTAAAGGTGCACTGTCGAAAACTGTAACTGTAAACATTGCTTTATCTACGAAGATTTAATTGTTTTGTTGCCGCATAAACGTTGCCGCATAAACATACCGATATATGTGACGAAGAGGGCGATCGCTCAACATCGCTCACACCATCCTCCGACAGGCATTCTTTGTACATCAAGTTTATGTGAACCTGATATATAAGGTGTTAATAAATTAACTCTAGGAAATCTAAGGTTTTGTTGTAACATTTATTTCATAATTAATCACGAAAAAATAATTTAAAAAAAAGCTACCGTTCTAAAGTTATTTCACTATTTGTGTTACACGTAAACAGCCTAATATGGGCGCCGTACGGCGTACTAGGCCGTCGACGAAGCCCCGAGCGACCGCGCTGACGCAGGTGTCGTGGTACCGCGCGCTTATGTTACTACTGAACTTAATAATGTTTCATTTTAATAAACGACCACACGACTCTGTTTAGATTATGTTATTTAACTGAATTGATATGCTTGACGGCGCCGCCGTCATTATTTTGTAAACTGCGAATGTAATGGGCAAGCAGTGAACAAACAACTGACCGACGTCACTTCAACCCCACCACCGAGTGATATATAAAGCAGCGCAAGCGCAAGCTCGAGTCAGTCGTTCGTCGATCGTTGCCCAGTTCACACGTTACGCAATCGCTGAGTAATTTTATTGTTGGTTTTATTTGAGTGTTTCCTTTATATAATCAGTGCTGAATTATTCAATTATTATAATTAAAAATTAATGTGAAAGTAAGTTCATTTAATCGAAATAAACTAAGTGATTGTGTGAAGCCCTTTGTTTTATTTTCAAATAATGTCGGACCCTGATCCTACATCAGAAGTGGGATGGACCGGGATTATTGAAAATGTTAAAATTATCGGAGCCGGTTCGTGAAGAACTACCTACATGCAAATGCGACGAAGAAGATAGTGCTGCAAGATTGGAAGTGCTTAGCTATACATAGCTAGCTA